TCCTGGAAACTAAACGAGGTTCCTCTGCAAAAGCTGTACTAGCTCTTAGCCAATGAACCAGCTCTCCAGCCCTAGCCATTGCCTTTTTAGTGAATTTAGAAATGGTCTCTTTCTCTGTTCTTGCCTTTCATTATTTCAGTTCTTGGAGTTGAACTTATCTTCGGCACACTCTATAACTAGAAGCAGCCTTTTGTGTTTCAGTTTCTTATGTATAGCTGAGAGCAACGTCATTCCCCAGTGCTGTGTCGGGATCAGGATGAGGTTTGAATGTCCTGGCAGTTGTGAGGTTCACAGAACAAAGCCTGCGCAAGGAGGAGACTGCTCTTCCTGCTTGTTTGACCTTTAGGTTCACTGTGACATCCTGTGCTGGTTAGTGTTTAATGAACTTGATACAAGCTAGGATCATCTGGGAAGGAGGAACTGCTGCGGGAGCTCCTTCCGCTCCTTCAGCCAATCGCCGCTGAGTTACCAGCCCATTGGGGCGTGGTCTCTCTCTCTTTAAAAAAAGCAGTGGTTGTCCTCCTCTCCCTCTCTGGCTTCCTGCTCCGCTTCCGGCTCCTAGACTCCTTTCCTGTTTGCGTGGAGGGGCTGTTGTCTGGGACGGTAATCTGTAAGTTTTTTCCCCTTTGAATAAATAACCATTCTATTAATCATAATTCCAAACTGGTGTGGGATTGTCTGTGACTTACGCCTTCAAGGAACTTCAATTGAGAAAGTACCTCCTTCAGATAGGTCTGTCAGCAAGACAGCAAGGCGTTTTTCTTTGCAATTATATGGGAGGTGTTGTTCACACCTGGATGGTGGTCCTGGGTTGTATAAAAAGACAAGCCATGGAAACCAAACTGGTAAGCAGCACTCCTTGAGGTCTCTGCTTTAGTTCCTTCCTCTAGGTTCCTGCCTTGCTTGAGTTCCTGCCTTGACTTCCTTCATGATGTGTAACATGAGGGCCAGCTAGTTGGGGTTTCTGTCCCACCCGGAACCCCACAGCCTGCAAGTCCCAAAGAAAATCACACAGAGGTCTCTATAAATTATAAGCTGATTGACCCATTAGCTCAGGCTTCTTATTAGCTTTTATGACTTATATTAACCCATTATTCTGATCTATTTTAGCCATATGGCTCGGTACCTTTTTCAGCTGGCAGATCACAACCTGCTTCCTCGGTTTTCTGTGCAGGACTGAGGGGAATCAACTTCCTCCTTCCCAGAATTCTCCTGTTCTCATTGCATCAGTCTGGTTTTCCCACCTATACTTCCTGCCTGGCCAATCAGTATTTATTTAAAACATGATTGACAGAATACAGACAATTCTCCCTCACCAATGATGGACTGTGAGCTATAGGCTGTAAGATGAAATAAACCAGTTCCTCAGCAAGTGGCTCTTGGTCATGGTGTTTACCACAGCAGTGGAAAGAAAGCTAGGATGCTACTTCTTATGCACTTCTGTTCTTTCATCCTTTGAATTCTTCTCTTTCTTCCGTGGGGTTTCCAATCCTCCATCTGTATCCTCCTTTTTGGAATCTAAAGCTCATTACCAGTGTAAGAGGAGAGGTTTAGGAAGGTCCAATTCTATTTTCACTTCCTTTCTTTTTTCTTTATTTTATTCCTTTCTTTTTTCCTTCCTTCCTTCCTTCCTTTTTCTTTGTTTCTTTCTTTCTCTCTCTATTCTCCTTCCTTCCTTTCTTTCTTCCTTCCTTCCTTCCTTCCTTTTTCTTTGTTTCTTTCTTTCTCTCTCTATTCTCCTTTCTTTCTTTCTTTCTTTCTTTCTTTCTTTCTTTCTTTCTTTCTT